AAAAAAAAAAAACGTTTTAGTCGACGCGCTTTTAAATATCGCTAATTAAAGAAATAGATGATACACGATGACACGCTTGTTGCGCGCATTGCTCAGATCTTTCGTGGTGATTTCAAAGTAGACTGTATATTTTATACGGTGGGATACAGGAAGTTTCATTGTCGACGCAACGCAAGCGAAAAAGAGCAAGAAACATAGTTTCCTTTGGGTACCAGACATTGCACATGAGCGACAGAATGCTGTTAATATATCCCGAAGAGCGAGATACATGACAAACAGGTTTCTCCATAGTGCTGTATAGCGTTAAGAAGCCATTGAAGCGAACGGTGAAAAGTTCCTATGGCAGGTGATAACACGGCTTGAGAAGATTCTATCGTGGTTACTGCCGGATTACGCGAAATCATTTAAAAGCATAACGCTTGACATCTTAGCACGACACACTTTTGTAACTGAATTGTGAAAATTATATTTCGCAAAATCAAGTAAATGAAACAGAACAAATGATAAAAAAAAAAATAACGATCTTGAATAATAGAAGTTTCATTTTCTTAAATTCGATAGATAGAAAGTATTTTTAAAATAAAAGCTCGATTGCTGGAAATTCATCATGACTAAATTATCATATTACTTTTATATACCATTGAATTTAATATCCAGGCTTCGACGAGCTAACGCATACTGCACAAAGCCATCCGAGTCACTCACACACGTTTGTAAACCATACACTCGTATCAATATACGCGGGTATATGCGTCTTCGTCGCTCCTAAGTACCGAAAGATCCGACGGGCGATGCCATTAACACCGGGAACGGTTCTAACAGCGACCTTAGCCAATCGGACTGCAACCCGGACCAGTCCAGCGCACCCTCGCACGTAACGCGGCGAGGGCAGCCACTTTCTATGCAGACAGCAGCGGCGCGGTAACAGCAACCGAGAGAGTGCGTGGCGGACAAACGCCTTTCCCGGCCTGGCCCTTGAGGTCAAAACTATTTTTCACCGTGCTTTCAGATAAATTATGCATGAATCGTGACCGCGCGGGCGCGAGCATAATGCCGTTAAATACGAGCCATGCGTGTGTCTCGTACGGCCCACGAGCAAAGTGACACACACAGGCTCCGAATCGGTTCTCGGTGGTCCACCCGTGTCCTTGTCCAATTTCTCACACATTATCCTTTTCTTTATTCTTCCCGCTGCTCTTTCTCTTTCCCTTTTCTTCTCGTAAAGCTGCCGCCGCGCGAAGACGTCGCGTCTATACAAATGTGTCTCCCGGCTTCCGTCACCTCGCTTTCTCGCGCCTCTCTCCATGGTTCTTTCATATCTCTGAATAGCTCCGTGAATAGCGAGACTAATTTAAGAAGTAGTCAAGTGTTAAAAGAGCCGTACCAACTTTAGTATTTGACTGATAACTCATCCTGTACATGGCGCGCAAAACCGCTAGAACGACTTCTTTAAATCTGATTAGGTTTATCAGCGCGTTAAATAACAGCGCATAATCATAATTGCATTGTTGTAGAAGAATCATTATGTTTAAGAAACAAATGTATTAATTATACATGAAAAGAAATTGTTGGCAAATCTAAAAAAAAAATTTGACCGGATACAGATCTGAAAATAATCCTATTAGGTCTTTAAAATTATTATGTAACAATTATTACGATGTTCAAATTGGTTGCTAGAAGATAAAAAATTTAAGCGTATTTCTACATAATAATTTCCTACATAATAATTCAACAAAGGTATTGATCCAACAAAATTATTTTCAGATTTGTATGTATCTGATCAAATTTTTAGATTTGTCAGCAAAACTATTCTCTCCGTGTATATAATAAAAAAAAAACGCACATGAAATGTATACGTTGAACGAATCTAGAAATTTACCTTTTCAATGCCGCAGAAATTGGCCTTCCGTCTGAATGTGGGTATAAAAAGCGAGTTGCCTTCGGGACGAGTACGGTGATACGATCGATTCCATACCTATAGGTTGCATCGCGCTTCGTAGTAACGTACCGTTGGATGTTTACACGCAGGCACGAAAATTGTGAGGAAAATTACGGTGCTGGGCGGGATCATCGTTGTCGAGGCCAGGTCATGTCATGGAAGAGAGTCGAGATCTACGCCTCCATAACGATCGAAATTCATTTCCATAATTATCTCACGACCACGCGGATTACCGCTGCAGAAAACTCGGCCCAATTCCTCGGCGAAACATATCGCTTCGCGTAAACGTGCGCGATAAACGTGCTTCTGATTTCCACATCCACCATCGACATTCTCGTGGGCTTCGTCACTGACCAAATCTTAGGTTCGGTATTCACATAGTCGATTCTTATACTTAAGTACACACTTAAGATCTCCTAAACCAATGCACAGAGGCATATTAGACTCTTAAGACATTACCTAAGATCTCAAAATGAAAACGAACCGTCCGTAATTCCATTCCATCATTGAAAAAATTATGAAATTAAAAGAAGGAGAAACAAAGCAGTTTTCTTTTATTCACTCTTGACTCTTAGTTAACAATTTATTTTATTTTAATTTAGCTATTTAATTAATTAAATTTAATTTATTTACTTTATTAATAATTTATTTCATTTCATTGATTATCAAAATTAATCAATGTCTGAAACACTTTTGTAAAATTATTTAAGAATATTTTTAAACATTTGTAAAGTTATTAAGCAATGTCTGATGAGATCTTCATCATCGAAGGACGTGAAATTGCAGGGATGCAAGGTGGATCACTTTGTATATATCATATTTTTACCCCGTCGTACGCATTCAACCCTTATTGTAGCGGTTTTACGAACATTAGCGTAGACCCCTATGTTTCTGCGCATTCTATTATATCCTTGAATATCGTACTTAACGTCGGAACAGCCTGTAATGCTGTATAATTCCATAATGCGCGCAATATAATGCGCTCGTGAGTTTATCATTATCAAATTCATAAATCCCGCGTTCGTAGTTACCAATTTCTCGTTGCGTGAAACAACGCAAATCGTACTGTAAGTGCGAGTTAGTTGAAGCAGTACAAAAAAATTCAATGCAATAAGTAACGTGTGTCTGAATTTTATGCAATTTATTTTCTTTATATGTATTAAATTTCACTTTGTAATATATATGACAAAGAATTTTTTCGTTTTTTAAATAAAATGATAAATGTAATATGATATCTATGGTTAATCGATTGCATCATGAAATTTCCTTTGTATCAGTTTGTATAGAAAGCGTTAATTTCAAATTATAATTATTAAAATACCAAACGACTTGATTAAAAAGATGATTAAAAAGATAACTTGATTATCAACATTGTAACATTCGCATATTTTGCAGTGATATAAAAATGAAAAAGTTTGACATTTAATTGTATAAATACGCAACGGTATGTGTAAAAAGTTATGCAAAAAAATTGAAGTTTTCATTTTTATGACCTTTGCTAAATCGAGGATGAAAAATCAAGTTTGATAAGAGCTACAACTTGTAGTTTTCCAATGCCTCGTAAGGACGAGGTTCATGCGAAAAGTTGTACCTTCACGGTATCGGCGCGCTCGTGCAAAGCACAGGCAAGTTCTTCATTATCGTCTGGAGCCCAAATTGCGTAGGCGTATCCGTACCTTCGCGTACACACAAACGTTACCTTGACGTACTACGGCTGGTACACACGCACATCGCCCGCGCCTCGTGTAATGTTGATATGTGCGTTATACACACCACCCCGGTCCGGTATATGCGAGAGCGTATACATATATATATATATATATACTTGCGCGGCCGAATGGCGGGGAGCGAGCTGGACCGAGTCGTAGCGGAAATGGCCGAGCGTCGCGGAGCCGGTTGTGTCGCGCGGCGGCGAGTCAGTATCGCGTCAGTCCCGAAGTGAAGCTGGTCAGTGATCTGTGTCAGAGCAGGGCCACTCTCCGCGCGTCCGTCACTCTCTCTCTTTCTCTCTCTCTCTCTTTCTCTCTCCTTTCCTCCTCCTTGTTTTACACAGCCTACGCCTCTTTCTGTTCTCTTCACCTCGCCTCGCATCGCATCGCATCCCGTCGCATCGCATCGCCTCGTCTCGCAACGCATCGCATCGCATCCCATCGCATCGCATCGCATCGCATCCCATCGCGTCGCATCGCATCGCATCGCACTCGCATCCCATCACATCGCATACGCCTCGATACCGTCATCTCCGGCTCCGTTCGCGCGATCCCCTCGAGACCGACTGTACCCCGACTCTCCCGGTCCTCTCCCTGGGTATTCGCCGAAACACATATACACGGTAATACACAGTGCCACAGTGTGGAGTTGTTACCAGTGGAGAAGGAACAAAAATTAGTTTACAAGCGGCCGTGCCACACATACGATCGTACGTCGTGTACCACCATCAACAACCACCGATTCCGATCATCGGATAGTTCAGCGTGTTGTCAAGTAAGTGCGTAGGATTTTACATTAAATGATTTTTTGATCATGCGACTGTCTATCACGATCGCGATGCATCAGTCTAAGCATTTATCGATATGTAATGTCTGAAAAGAAATGTGCACGCAAGCAAAAGATTTGAAATTATGTTAGTATTGTTAATACGCTTTTTTTTTCCAAAATTGTTAAATTCATCTTGACGTGATATCGCTTATGAAAATCAACCAGATTAAAAATATAAAATTTTTATTTTAATATCTGCTGTATTAAACTTATATTTTTGTGAATCGACTTTTCTATATGATTTTTCCGTGTTTGATAATATGATATCTCTGAAATCGGAGCTTTGAATTTTTGAATTATTGAAATCTGTATAACATGTTTATTATAGCAAGATCAGATTCTTCTACGCGATAAATTGCGTAATTTGAGATAAAATGATTCAGTTCAAACACACAACTTACAAACACATACATACTTATGATGTATAAAGAAATTTAATATGTTTTCGTAAAGCGATCTTGAAAATCACAACTTGGAGATCTCATGATCGGAACGTCTCTCATATTTTAAAAATTATCATACATTTATAATTACAACACATCTGACGCAAACGCTTTTATCTCATTTTTTTAGATATTTTTAAATACATTTCATTGATACAAATCTAATTTAAAATTTTTTGTATATAAATATATAATCACGATAGAATATATTTTAATACAACATTTATATTTTAATATCCTATATTTTATATTTCTATATTTTTTTTTACTTGTAATAATATTTTCAACATTTCTTTTTATTAATTTTCGCTATTCTATATTTAAGTAAATAAACTGTCGTGTTTATATAAACGGCTTCCATCATTCTCTCAATACGGGCAATGTACTCTGAATATATTCCGAAGGCGCGACTGTCGCGCGTGAACGAACGAATCGCCGCGACGCGCGGCTAAAATCGAATGTGTGTCACGTTCACTGTAGCGGCGGTGATTAGTAATCGCAGCACGAGCACCAATTACACTTGAAAAAGTCAATGTTACTGGGAAAGGTTTTCGTGTGTGCAATTTATGCAATCGCGCGCGATTCAGCCCGTTATAACATTGTTCCGGGTTTATCCGGCTATAGAGAAAGTGCAGACATTGTCCTCTCTGCTCACTGTGTGTGCCATGGAGGTTCCAAGGTAAAGGAATACTCGTCAGTGATGCGAGCCATGCAATTTCTATCTATTATATCTATTATATCTTACGAAAATTACATTTTTTAATATCAATTTTCTTTTAGTCGCGTTTAACGTAATTGGTGCATTATCGTCTAATTTAACGTATAATATTTCCTATCGACGATGCGTTTCTTACAACGATATCGTAATGTCTTCCTTATTAATAATTAAAATCTTAAAAGTTCTTCAAGGCATGAACACTTTGGAATAAAATGAATAATATGAGAATTAAATGTATCGTAACGTACGCACTTTTCATTTCATACAAAGACTCTTACCTCAATATCTTAATGTTATTTCGAATCTCATAAATAAATTACACGCGTACCGGAAATATCGATCAAATGTACGAGTTTATGTTACCGCTAATTATGAGATAAATAAAGGTGCGATTCTTTTTCCCTTACCGGATATATGGAGAACACGGAATAGAACGATCATTAGTAAAGCGAAAAAAAAATCCCCGACGGTTTTATCTCCCTCATTAATTATCCGTCGCCGGTCAAAGCATCGCTCGTCCCGAGGCATGATAAATATAAAACAATTACGCGCTATCGACGTCGCCATCGCGACGGTAATGTTCATTAATTCGGAGTTATTCTCGCGCGGATTAACTCGATTTATCGAGGCGACGCGTCGAATCGTCGTCGGCGATTCTTCCTTCCCTTCTTTCCCCCCCCCCTCCCTCCCCATTTTTCTCTCCCCGGCGGTTGACTACGCTTCTCTCCGCGCGCGCAATATCGCTGCGCGCCATAAAGTGTCGGAGTCTGTAAGGCGGCCGTGATTGCCTGACACGTCGCAATTGAATGTCATAACGCGATAGGCACGCTGCACAATGCACAGCGCGCGGCCGCGTACGACGGCATTAAGCATTATATGCGTAATTTACGAAGGTTATTTACTATACAATTAGATAGCCCGCGCCAAGTATTACGCGCGCGAATACGGTGCGTGCACGTACGCCGTTGCGAGCGCGTGTGCGCACACGCGTACGCGCGCGATGCACCGCACGGACGTGCATGGTAATGGTCCAAGGGGTCTCATCAGTGGCACAGAGCGAGAGAGAGAGAGAGAGAGAGAGAGAGAGAGAGAGAGAGAGAGAGAGAGAGAGAGAGAGAGAGAGAGA